GCTTGCGGGACTGGCCTAAGGGATTTTAAAGGGGTTTTAATTACTTTTAATCAGATTAGTTTAAATATTTCTTTTTAATTAATTTTAAAGGTGTTTTCTATGTTTGTATTTTATCTAATTGTTAGCCGCCCTGAGTCCGCAAGGAGAAGGGCGGGATATAAATGTAATTAAATAAATAAATAAATAAAATAAATAAAATTCACATTCTCGTGACCTTTAACTGGGCGAAACAATGCATCCTAGGACAACAGCTTTTGATCCAAGGTACCTCAAATGGGCTAACTTACAGAATGCGTCCAAAATTTGGGACTCGTGACTCTCGAGAGAATTAAAATTTGGAGAATCTGTGGCGGCGGCCGCTGCTGTGCTAAAAGTAACTTTCAGTTTCAACGTTCTGTGACAGTTTCCCAGTCACTCTTGCAATCCCTCACTCCCTCCCCCACTCAGCAGCAGTCATGTATCTGCCTGCAGGGGAGGGGAGGACAGGGAAGAGAAGGGAAGATTTCCAGATTCCCACAAGAAGACTCAATAGGGAAGCCAGTGGGAAGTCAGAAATAACTTCTATTTCCACTGCTTTTTTTGCCCACCTGTGGTCATTGTTTCCCCATTTAGGCAAGGCCAAATTTCTGAAAGAGCAGGTAGTCTAGTTCTAATTACTAATGTTATGACGTGTCCCTCTTCTGGACATCCAGAAATTGATCATATATGTGGATTCTAAGACAGCTTACCTTTTATAGGGTAATCATGGAGTTGCATCTCCTCGCCAGTTAAAATATAACTTGAGAGACTGCAGCCCTTTTCAGCGTATTTCTGAATTATGGGATCCTCATCCATCTCTGAAACCAATGACACATTTACTCTAAATATCCATATATTAGCATTTTTGTCCCTTTTCTGTCAGCAGTCTCTTCAATGTATGTATTTTGAGAAGAAAAAAGGGGGGGTTTTTTACATGTCATTTGATTTATTTTATGGGTTACTGCTGCTTATCCACCAATTCAATGGTTACAGGGCAGTGGCCAGTATAATCAAAGTAAAATTAAGGTGTCATAAAATATCTACAATGCCCCTTTCAGATACATTAAAAAAAATAACCGTAAAATAAAATCAAGCTGCAAGAAGACCAGCAATAATAATAAAAAAACAACACACTTTCATTCTTCACATATGCCAATTTGTTGTTTAACTACGTTCTGCCTGAGACAGTATTTCCCATTTATTCTCTGCTTGGAAACCAAGCACTTTAGAAATAAGGGAATTTTTAAATGAATCCGTTTCAAGCAGCCCAATTTCATAAAGGGGCACAATTTGGCTGTTGTTGTTTTAAAAAAAGTCACCCATGGTTTATAAAAGGCCAAATCATTTGTTATAGACCAGGGATAGGCAACCTTGGCTCTTTTATGACTCATGAACTTCAACTCCCAGAATTCCTGAGCCAGCCACGCTGAGGGGAAAGGGAGAGGTTTCCAAGCTGAGCCATGCTGGGCCAGGAATTCTGGGAGTTGAAGTCCACGAGTCATAAAAGAGCCAAGGTTGCCTACCCCTGTAATGTAGACTATACAGGTAGTCCTCCATTTACAACCATTTGTTTAGTGGCTGTCTGAAGCTACAATGGTGCCATACAAAGTCCAGTTCTCATATTTATGACCGATTCTCACATTTACAATGGTGGTGTTCCCTTAATGACCAGGATGGTTTGTTTAGCCACTGTTGTAATCATGTCGTAAAACAGGGTCAGACTTAACTTATGACCATTGAGTCCAACCCAACTTATGACCGCAATGGCTTTGGGTTGAAATTTCAATCGCGATTGTGGTCGTTAAGTCGAGGATTACCTGTAGGCATTGCACACCAGATGTATCCACCTGGACTTTCAGGAAATCACAAAGGTATGGATGAAATATGTTATATTAATATATTAATACCTTCCCTGCTGAGCTGTTGACAGTCGTTTGTGCCCGATCCACCAGGTTTTTCAATAAAGTCACCAGAAAGGGCAGGCAGACAGAAACGCTGATAAAAGACATAGAACAGAGGCAAAAAGGAAGACAGTGACATAACACCACATTCCTTTCCATATATTCTGTCAGAGGAAGGGGGCATTTAGAATTTTCTGATGAAAGTTGCCTCGGCTGTCCTATATCAAGGACTACCTATACAAATACACCTAATCAGCCATGACACGGCCTTGAAACAAACAAACAAACAAAAAGGCATTTGTTTTTAAGAATAATTCCATGGAAGAGAAGTGGCTTCTTCAATAATCTCATAAATACAAATTTAAGACTTAAGAAGCACAGGGTGTAATTAAATGTTCAGAAGGGCCCCAGACACTTTCTGGCTAAATGTTCTGAGGAATTGTTTTCCCTTCGTTTTAACAATCCAGTGATTGATGCTGCCTTCGCTATTGTTTTTATAGTTTCAGTTCCTCCTCAAGCACTTTGCAAACACAATTTATGACCACGAAGCAGCTCTGATGATATCTCCTAGCTGTGCTCGTGTGTTTTTGTGTGTGTGTGAGAGAAGGGGGAGCAGACTTTTTAATCACAGGCCAATAAGCGCAAAAAATTCATTTGCAAAAGCCTGGGCTTTGTGGTCAAAACAACAGTGGCTTTTTTTCCCCTTTCTAACTGTCTCAAACTGTGGGCTGGTTGTTTAAAAAGGGGGAAAGGTCCGGGAGAGACAGATAACCCTTTCTGGGGAAAATTCCCAAGAAAAACAAGTCTCTTTTGTGTCAACCCAGCCGTCGTATTAATGACCTCGACTTCCAGGCAGCAGCCAGAGGAAAAAGAAAAAAAAAGAGGAAAAAAATTGAAAGATCATTCTTGAGAAGAATTGGAGGCTGAACTTGTTCCTGGAAAGTCTTGAATACCCTCTAAATTAGAGCCATATGTTTCCTTGTGGCTCCAAAACTGTTTCCCCCCCCCCCCCCAATCACTCCGTCAGCCTCCCTGGTTCGAAGTATCCTGTTACAGCAGAAAATTGCAAGGGCAGGCAAAAAAAAAGGGAAAAAAATCAATAATGGCATTGGGAAAAGTTGCAGTTACTTCTGTTCTGCTGAAAGAAACGGTGATTTCAGGAGATTTTTGCCTGCCTTGGTAAAGCACACCACCCTGGTAAACAAACTATTAGATTTTAATTTTAATTAAGGCACCAGGCTACAAGCCAGGAGATGGTGAGTTCTAGTCCGGCCTTAGGCATGAAAGCTGATTGGGTGACTTTGGGTCAATCACCAGGAGAAGGCGAGTTCTAGTCCTGCCTTAAGCATGAAAGCCAGCTGGGTGACTTTGAGCCAATCACTGGGAGCCAGTGAGTTCTAGTCCTGCCTTAGACATGAAAGCCAGATGGGTGACTTTGGGCCAATCATCAGGAGATGGTGAGTTCTAATCCTGCCTTAAGTGTGAAAGCCAGCTGGATGACTTTGGCCCAGACACTTTGTCTCAGCCCAATCCACCTCACAGGGTTGTTGTTATGGGGAAAATAGGAAGAGGAAGGAGTTTTATATATGGTATAGGGGGTTTCCTGCCTGAGTAGGGGGTTGGACTAGATGACCTCCATGGTCATTTCCAACATTATTACTATTACTATTACTATTACTACTACTACTACTACTACTACTACTACTATTATTATTATTATTATTATTATTATTATTATTATTATTATTATTATGTCTGCTATCTCGAGTTACTTATAAAGGAATAAAGTTGAGATTTTAAAAAACATAATTGGACTTTTCCCTTGTTATGCTCCGGTTTGGTTCTACTGTGAGTTATTTTAGACCCAAGGCCAGGCTCATTGGTTTACGAGGTCTCCATGTTGCCATATAATACACAATGTCCTAGACTAGCCATCTCACCAAGTGGATAAATTTCAATGACTTACGTGTTTGAAGGTCTTTCGGAGATGTTTGAACTGCAGGTAGTATCGGTAGAAATGGAGCTGATCCACGTGATGCAAAATTACCACTGTAACACCAGCCAGCTGCCTTCGGTGGTGGATACGACACCAACTGTACCACAAGGGGCCACAATTACCTCTTATGTTCCTTTAACCAGCCAAGCCCGCGCAAATCTATTTCTCAGTTATTATTCTGGCTTCTAAACATTTAGGAAATAGAAATCCTGGCTCTCCAGTGAATGATCTAGCAAGTGATATGGCAGGTGTTGGTCTCATAGAACAGGGCTCTCCCAACTTGGTACCTTTAAGTCTTGTGGACTTCAACTCCCAGAATTCCTCAGCGAGGCAAGCTAGGGGAGGAATTAAAAGGGCCAGGTTTGAAGACCCCTGCACTAAATGAACTGTTGTAAGTCAGGACTATCTGTACTGTTGAACACCTAAGATGGACAGATACCTTGCATAAGGTTAAAAGCACATTTACCTGGGCTGAGTGACATTGTGATGTTTTCCCTCTGTGGCATACTTCAGTAATTCACCCAGTTGCTCATAGCTGATTTGGCTTTCTCCAAACATTTGAGCAGAGAAACGGGGTGGGTTCACCTTGGAAACCAAGAGAATTGACTCAGGAGTGTTTACATTCCCAAAGAAAATATCAGGAGACAAGGCCCCATTCCCACAAATAACATCCAGAAAGGACAATTCATTTCTTGCAAAAGGATGCCACAAAAACACACACAGAGGCAAAGGGGAAACACAGTTAATAGACCGAACTTGTTAGATATGCATTAACTTCACAAAGCTTGGACATTATTTACATAAACACAATAAATGCCAAATAACTTCAGTCCCAGAGGTAATTTTATAAAAACAGTCCTCCCACATTGACAAATTCAGCTATGGATAAAATGCAAGCAGCTTCTAAAAAGTTCCTGGAGCTTTTGCAGTATTCAAATCATTAAACTTCTGTCTAATTCTGGATATGAAACTTGGGGGAAAAAATAAGGCAAAGCTGAAAAAGATGCAAGAACAGCCAACTGGAATAATACATCATTCTAATTATAACTTTTATGATTCATAGATATAAACAACGAAGTGCAGCATTAAAAATATAACACAGACTGAAACCCCCTACACTACAGCAAACCTCCCAGGAGGACTAACGATACAAAAACTTTAAAAGACACAAAACTAAAGCAAAGCCAGAAAAACATTTGGAAACTCCACCCAATATTTAAATTGAAAAAAAAACAATAAGGTGGGGAATGGTAAACTAAAACATGCAATCCTCTGGAATAATATATCCATAAACAAATCTTACTTCACTGGAAAGTTTAATGTTCTGATGAGCTGGGCAAATGTCATTTCTCTCAATCTTCCTCTTTTTTTTAGCCTTCCGGTTCTCTCCTCCAGTTTCCCCATCTTCACAATACCTTTTCTTTACAACTTCACTAGTTTGTGCGATCATTTTATTTTATAAATCTCTCTTCAGGTGGAATTTATCTGTTAAACAAAAACAGCAGTACAGAAAAGAATTTAAAAAGGTAATAAACTAATGAAAAAACATCTGTTATAATAATAATAATAATAATAATAATAATAATAATAATAATAATAATAATAAAGTTGGAAGGGATCTTGGAGGTCATCTAGTCCAACCCCCTGCTCAGGCAGGAAACCCTATACCATTTCGGACAAATGGCTGTCCAGTCTCTTCTTAAAAACTTCCAGTGTTGGCGCATTCACCGCTTCTGGAGGCAGGTTGTTCCACTGGTTAATTGTTCTAACTGTCAGGAAGTTTCTCCTTAGTTCCAGGTTGCTTCTCTCCTTGGTTAGTTTCCACCCGTTGCTTCTTGTCCTGCCTTCAGGCGCCTTGGAGAATAGCTTGACTCCCTCTTCTTTGGGGCAGCCCCTGAGATATTGGAACACTGCTATCATGTCCCCCCTCATCCTTCTCTTCATTAAACTAGACAGACCCAATTCCAGCAACCGTTCCTTATATGTTTTAGCCTCCAGTCCCCTAATCATCTTTGTTGCTCTTCTCTGTACTCTTTCTAGACTAGAGTCTGTCTACCATCTATTTATATCTATTTATCTCCATCCATCCATATCTATATATCCATCAATGTCTAGTCTAGTCCAATCTAATCCAATCTAATTTTATAGAGATGCAAATAAGATTTTCCCCTCCATACAGTAATAAGACTCTCTGTTCGCAGGTAATATGTAAGTAATATGAATCATATAATGTAAATAATCCAATTAATGAGAACAGCAAATGAAAGTAGTAGCAGTAGCAGCTACATTACTTAGTGCTTTGAACTATTCTACAAATATGGACTGCAACTATGTTTTCCAAACTTGGCAACTTTAAAGTGAACTCCCAGAATTCCCCTGCCTCCATGCTCACAGTGAATTCTGGGAGCTGAAGTCCACACATCTTAAAGTGGCTAATATTGCATTGAAATGACAACTGGCATAATGTAATTAAGGATCATAATATAAAATAAACAGCAGCTCTCAGTACCCTTTTTGCACCCAGCCTCGCCTGCGGGACAGCAGCTCCCACAATCCCCAACCAGGTGGAGATCAGCAAGTTCCCCTTGATTTTAAATCTGGCTGGGGGGGGGGTATGGGGAGAGTGGTCCAGCAGTGTAAAAGCAGCAGGTTTAAAGCTGGAGCAAGCTGCTCTAAAGCAGCGCGTGGTTCCACCCGTGCAATTCTCAAGGGTTGGCAACCACGTGCGAGCCTGCAAACACGTGTAAGGGAGAATTGCAATCTATCTTCTCTCGCCTGCAAGCAACTGCCTCCCAACAATTAACCTGGGATCGCCTTTCCTTGCTAACACCCACTCCCCATTAAAAAAAATGGGGGACAAGGGGGAAAAAATGAAGTTAGTGAGAAGCCTGACCTGGATCTCTGCACCCCATTCCCAGGGAAGCCCTTCTTGCAATCGAGGAGAATCCTTGCTCGGTAATCGTCTGCTCGGGCCTGAGTCGCCACCAGCCTCGCCCCTCGCATAGCTGCCGACGCTTTAGAGGAGGAAGCAAGAGAGCGAATGGAAGGCGGCAGACCTTCTTAGTCGATGGGCCGAAAGCATCGAGGGGAGGAGGCGGGGCCTGCGCCGCGGCGGGCTGTTTGAAATGGCGGCCGCCGACTAGAGCGAGCCGGGTGGAACCGGGGCGCGGGGCGGCGGTTGCCATGGCGACGAGGCAGCTGGCCAAGTAAGGGGCCCAGGTGGCATCCACCTTTCGGTTGGTTGGGGCTGCAACCCCCGTTTGGACCAAGCTGTAGAGCAGGGGTCTCCAAACTTTGCAACTTTAAGCTTTCTAGACTTCAACTCCCAGAATTCCCCAGCCAGCATGAACCCTAAGCCATTAAAATACAGTAGTTTTACATTCAGGGGTGTCCAACCTTGCCCACTTTAAGACTTGTGGACATCAACTCCCAGAATTCCCCAGCCAGCTCTTGTACCTTTAGACCAGGGATGGCCAACCTTGCCCACTTTAAGACTTGTGGACTTCAACTCCCAGAATTCCCCAGCCAGCATAGGTACTGGGGAATTCTGGGGGTTGAAGTCCACAGGTCTTAAAGTTGCCAAAGGGGAAAAAAACCCAACAGGAATGGCCTTGAATTACATCCTAATGGGACCTTTGCTTTAACCCTGTAAAATTTGCAATGATCGATTTTTGTCTGTTTCTTTTGTTTGATAGGCAGCTGGGCATTATTCGAAGTGTTTCTAAACCCTCTCCTGGTGGCCAAAGTCACAACCAACGCAAGCTGCGTGAGTATGCCACTAACTTCACAAAGTCAGTGTTCGTTATTATTTGCAGGTTATGACAATGAGATAATATATGATTTTTTTTCCAATATTGCAGGGCAACTGTTTGACTACTTAATCATTATTGATTTTGAGTCCACCTGCTGGAAGGATGGCCGAAGATGTCAAGAAATAAGTAAGTCAAGCCTTAATAATTTTAACAGTTGCTTAGGGGCAAAGAGAAGGCTTGAACATAGTTCACGCAAATGCAGTTAGTCTTTGACACACAACCTTCATTTAGTGATGGTTTGAAGTTACAATGGCACTGTTAGAAAAGCATTGTTAGAGACCCCCCCACACACCCCTTCACAGTCTGTTTCTGTTGCTCCCCTCTGCTGTAAATTCTTTGATAAGGTGCTGCTAAAAACCTGCTGAAATGTTCAGCTCAGCTTTGAATCCGGTATAAGCACAATAATTTGAATTTTTATTCCTCTGAAAAAGAATGCAATGTGCTTTAAATTCATTCTTTACATCTTTGCTATCTGAATGATAGCTCTGTGATTTAAACTAAGGTTAGATGGAGAGTGTATTATTAGCCTGATGAACTTCATGGCTTACTGTTTACATAGTGGTAGAACTAATATAATCTTTTATTTGTTTTTGTTTTTTTGACATAGTTGAATTTCCAGCAGTTCTCTTAAACACCTCAAATGGAGAAATTGAGACTGAATTTCATATGTACATCCAGCCCCAGGAACATCCAACTCTCTCTGAATTTTGTATTGAGCTAACTGGAATAAAACAGGTATAATTTCAGTAGATTGCAGTCAAGAGTTATTAGTTACATTTTGTTTTGAAGCATTTTACTTAACTTTTGATGAATGTTCTTAAAGGAATTTGCTTGCTAGCTTGAACATATTTCTTTTATCATCACAATATGACTTTTCTTTGATGCTCCAAGGCTCTAGCAATTGCTGAAAAAGTTTCCATTTTTATTGAATCATTTTAAAATTGCTGATTTAAATTCTTTCCTGTTTTCAGCTGTTCATTTCTATTCATTAAAGTGTGCAGTCTTGGAAATCAAATTAAAATGGATATATATTGGTTGTTTTCACCATTTTGTGTATTAGAGGATTTTTAATTTTTTTTGGTTCTTATACAATGTTGGTAGAATTTGACTTCATGGTCCAATCAGAAATATCAATATCAGTGTCGATAAAACCATATCTAAATCTAGATTCTGAATGTTATCAGCAAGATCTTTTTTCTTTGAATTAAGAATCAAGTTGACGAAGGAGTTCCTCTGCATATAAGCCTATCCCAATTTTCCAAGTGGATTCAGAAAATCCAGAAGGAGAAAAACATTGTTTTTGGTTCAACTTGTGCTGCCCCTGAAGAAAAATTATGTGCCTTTGTTACGTGGTCAGGTAATTCATAATGTTTATCAACATTATCTACGATAAAGTTTGCTCGTTTTTCATTGCTGGGTTTGCTGAAGATTTAAGACTGTGGTTTCCCTGATAATAAAATGGGAAAATGGCTATTTTGTTATGCTTTTTGATTTCTGACTCCCTGTAGCACTCTGGACTATTCAAATAATAACCAGGTCTGTCTTCTGCTTAGGTTTTTGAGACCACCCATTGTCAGCTATTTTTCTACCCTGTCACATGGTGCTCGTGAAAATCCTGCTGGATTCCCCCTGGCTCGTGTACCCTCTTTGCTGTATATTTTC